GATTCACTACGTCATCTAATTTTGAAACTCAAAATAGCAACATTCATCTGAAGCACGCAAGATAGACCCTTCCCAGTTGAGGTATACTTGCATGTGTCCAGGACAATCCGCACAGACAAATAATACAAGTCGGCAAGAATGCAAGGGATGAAACTTTCAATGCCCTTTTTTCGAACACATGGTCTGCCAAGGGCCATAGAGATAAGAAACCGGACACGTACTTTGTATTCCACAGATCCTGCGCTGCTTTGACTTTCTGCTGTGCAGTCTCTTCGGTAAATGGCGGTTTGAGATCTGCCATGGAGGAAATATATGGAATCAAGTTTGTTTTTCGTTCGAATTGGTGAGGTTGAGAAGCTTAACCCCTTCCAAGCCGGACCCGCCTGACGCCACGTAGACAGCTTTAGTCATCTCCATAGAAGGCTGTACAGAAGTACAACGTCGTGGCTTTGTCTACTACATGAAGATCTGCTAAGGTTGTATGTGAAGATAATTGTATAAATAACTTTATAAACCAAATTTGGTTATAAGCAAAAATTATACGGTAATTTTACAAGCAAATTCCTGACCATATAACCGGCAGGCAAATATTATACTAAATCTTGCACTCTGAAATATATATAAACTTAACTCATTGTATCAAATATAGGTCTGTTCAATGAATAAATCGATTTATTTTAACTACTCATGCTTCAAACGTAGGATATCCACTGGACTGTTTTTATAATTCACGTTGGGGTTAGCAGATGTGAGAACTATATATTTGCCCCTACCGTAACAACAAGCCATCTCACCACTATGTCCAAAAATATTATAAATCTTGAACTAGATATTTGTTGAGGGTAGAAGCAATAAGTGCATATTATATACATGAATAATAGCCTAGACAGGTATTGTTTGATAACTGGTGACCTTATTTGTGATCGTTGAAGCTCTCTGTGTAGCACCAAGCCACAACAAGAACCAAGTTTGAACCACAATCCACAAAGGAGGAGCTTTTACCTTTTGGATCTATTGTGACTCTCTAACTGATGGCAGTCAATCCTTTATTGACGGAATTGATAGAAACAGGATTATGTATTGAGTTCCTCCATGGGTGTTGTCACCAAGTTCGGGGCTTTTGAGCTTACCAGAGGAGAAAATAAGAATGTCTTTGCGGATTTTCATGCTGTGAATTACGGTGGTTTTTATCGTAGAGGATCAATCGTGTTTCGATACGGCGATCATCTCTTGATAGTCATGACAGCCCCTTTGATTTCATTATAATGCCCCTAGGATGGGAGAGTGATGTGTCAAAAGAGTAGATGGGGAAAGGCAAGGCGGACCAAGTCGATGAACCATTCGTGATTATTGACAAAAAGGACGAGGAAGAAGTTGTACCTTAAGTATCTAGGTCACTGGGTGCCTGCTTTCTGGATTTTGAGGCTTTCTTGTGCAATGAAACTCTTTTTCCCCGAGTATAAATTGCCTGTTGTCCCCGAAGTTTACTATTACTTCATGCTAGTTCTGACCTTCTTCATAGCATGTAGTGAGTATAAAATACTGACAATATTGTATATATAGTCGATCTACATGATATCATAGCACAGAAGGGAATGGAAACCAAGTGGAAACTGATGATCTAGGGAGCGTTTATATTTGGAACAAAGATAGGGATTGTTCTCAATAATTAGGATTGTACATTCCTTACACAGAACTCTTTGTCTCATACAAGGCAAAGTTCAGGACGAAAGAAAACGGACTTCAATGTTATTCATTTCATTGAGGTCCACAGCTCTTTTGGAAATTCTACAACTATATAGGCTTTCTTCCAACCCCATATTCTATCACAGCCTTCTCCACCCAAGGCCAGTATCGCGAGTACTTACCCCAGAGCTCTACCATTTTCAACAAACCCATAATCCATCATGTGCAAAATGCGATATAAATGGTACCGTGGCCACTGCGGTATCAGTGGTTGTGGGCATATAGAAGCAGTGTGGATCGAGCGCTGTAAAGAAGCGAATGCCCGTGAGAGACGAGTACCTTGCCCTAATCCACGTCCCATCCTCCGTATCACCGAAGCTTTTGCGATGGGTCTTTGTCGTCCCTGTCTTGGTTGGGGCGTGTTAATTCCGGGAGCTCCCGAATTGGTCAACCCAGAGCGGGTCGATAGGCCTCGTCGGCAGCATCACAGTATTGACTCATTGACTTCATAGCTCGACTTCTAGCGACTAAAATGATTGATAAATAAGATGCAGCTGCCTTACTCTTGAAGAACAAACTAGATTTAAGTTGAATTTTGAAAGTTTGTATGTTTAGAAATAGTCCGATTGTACATCGTAGGTCTCGGTCGATGTCGAGGAGTCCAAGTCTGTTTCAGGGACCGGGAATTATTGGGTAATGATGAATATATCGAACTGTTGTTTTGGTCCTTGATGAAACCCCTTCACAGCTTAGACAAGGGTTGGGGTGAATTCTCCGGCACTTTCTGAACCTGCACTGCAGTTTGACCGCTCGCTGGCTCTAGGAGATCTACGACCAATGGCCCCACCAAAGACATCTTGGAGGTTGGTACCAAATCTGCCGATAGCAGTATAACCGAGGAGGATGTTTGTGGCACGCATTCGGCGAAGGAATTTGAGTTGATGCTGGTATAGCGAGAAAGGGGTATGGCCAAGGGGTCGGGGCCATGCAACTGGCTAATTTCAGATGAATCGCTATCCCTAGCCCCCGCTTCGATAACGACGAGCGACGAAGGATAAAACCCGGCATTCCTTGTGCGGATACCAGCGTTCTTTTTCCCCGCCAATGTGCTCACGTAGGCTATTTGGTCGACTTGTTGTCCCAGGAAAAATCGCACCCCTGCATCTTGTGCTGCACGATAGACCTATATTTCAACCGCATAGTCGTTAGTAGTTATTCTATTTTCCCTATTTCCCCCCCCCCCTTTTTTTTAAAAAAAAAGGAAAAAGGAAAATAAATGACTTTTAGGGGTACACTACATTTGTCAAATCTCCGAAAGGGATATAGTCATCTTTTGCGAACACCGAGACATTTGTGTAGCCTCGTAGAGAAAGATGCAGTGCTACCGAGAGGCCCAAGGCGCCAGCGCCGACGACAATAATCGAATCTGATGTGGAAACGCCCATAATGAAAGAAAATAAAAGTGCATTTGCTTATTTGTGGGTTATTGAGCTGATATAGTATTTCCCCCGCATCCACCCCCCAAAACAGTTATAATATGCGGAGTTGGAGAAGGGTTCCCCCAAGATAAGAGCTGAGGGGAAAACCTTTGATCGGGTGGACTCCCGGTGGTTTCTCCAATTCTATGTTTTCTAGAACTTGTATATTTATATATATAATTACTATCTGTCTCCTGTTTAAACTATGGATTGTATACTTACTTTGAACCTCGAGATTTTTAACCAAATCCATAAAGGTGCTGTGGACTCGAACATTCATTATAGCGATGTATCCAGCTATGGGGTACTTGAAGCAGAAGAAATAATCCAAATAAACATAGTTTTTGGAGAAAAAGTACTCTCACTCTTGGCCTTGAAATATCCTGGAAGTCAAGAAACTCATGGAGCTCATATGTGTTGTAAGTCGGATTCGATTCAAGCGGGGTATGGATTCTCCACACTCGGATGCATCCCCGATCTGCTTCAAAATTCAGAACTTGTTGCCTTCTGGTTTCGCTTCCTTTGAATAATCTACTTGTTTACTTGATTTGAACGTTAAATCATGGATACCCAAAACGGAACCCTTTGCATCCTAGGTTGTGGTAAGTGCGGAAACCCATAGGCAAAATACATTGACTAATACTTCTAGGAAACCTGGGCATTGCCATCCTAGACGGTTTGGTCAATGCACCAGCGGAAAAATCCAAAGATCTACCATTTACTCGATATATTGCATGCGTGCGCAGTGAAAACTCAGAGAAGAGATTGTCCGAGCGATTCGCCGAGGCCCTGGACAAAATACGCATTTCTCGCGGCAACAATGTACAAGCCGTACAAAACGCCGATGTCATTATTCTAGGCGCAGACCCCGCTGATATTGAGACCGTCCTGACGCAACAGGGGCTCCGCGACGCCTTGACCGACAAGCTTATCATCAGCATTGCCGCCGGCTGGACAAGACAAAAGCTCGAAGCTACAGTCTACGGCAGCGCGACCACTACCGATAACACAGCTGGCAGAGCCTGGGTGGTGCGCACATTGCCGAACATCGCAGCCCAAGTGTCTCAGTCACTTACGGCTATTGAAACATCGGAGCCTGCATTGCCCAGACAGTACCTCCAGATAACGACATCGATCTTCGAGCAAATTGGCAAGGCAGTACACGTTGATCCGAAGTTGATGAATGCTACTACCGCTGTCGGAGGCTCAACGCCCGCTTTCTTTGCTGTGATCTGCGATGCAATGATTGATGCCGCGGTGGCAGTTGGTATGCCACGGGACCTGGCTCACACCATGATCTTTCAGTCAATGCAAGGGACGGCAACCATGCTTCAGAGTGGCATCCACCCTGCCCTATTGAAGGATCAAGGAACATCCCCCGAGGGTTGCACGATTGGCGGGTTGATGGTCATGGAAGAGGCTGGTGTGCGTGGCCATGTTGGACGGGCGCTTCGGGAATCTGTTACTTTGGCTCGTTTGATGGAGACAACACCTCATGTTAATGATACAAGACATTGATCTGCTATTTGGGGAGTAAGCTGAGGGCAGCCTTCAATACCGTGCACATATTAAGCATTGTATCCAATAAGAAAAGAAACATTGTATTTGAAATCGCAATCCAGCAAATTTCGGCCCATCACAGATCTCCGTGAAGATACCAAGAGTATGCTCCCTGAAAAATTCACTAATTCCGTCCTCCCGGTAGCGCTTCAAAGCATTATGGAATATAAACCTTAGAACCTTCCAAATTAGATGTCGGTGATGACTCCTGACTTCTGACATCGGAGAATGTGACCGAATAACCACAGCCACTATAGCAAAAGAAAATTGACGGTTTCACCCTTCTCTATTCGTTGCAGCATCTGGTAATCCAAACTCTGTATGCAAATCTTCTGTGAGCTCCAGTTGCTTAATAGGTATACACAGAAGCAACCCGATACCACCAAACGGGATGGAAATCCACCAAACCCATCTCAAACTATCTTGATAAACACTGAGCACTTCCGCCATAAGGTTCGGAGTATTGTGCAAAGTCCGCATCAGCCCTTCGCTGGCCATGGCATATGCACCGCCATTAGCAAGCTTTGCGCGCAAAGACACATCACTGACGCGATACAACAGCTCCTGGACACGTGCGTTGAAGATAGTGGTTGGAGCAACAATACCCCATATGCAACCAAAGCTGCGCATAAATGCCCAGGTGGAGGTTGCAGTGGCCACGTCGGACTCGGCCAGAGATGCCTGAATCGGAGGTAGGGTACTAGAGAAGATCATGCCAGAACCAGCGCCGAAGAGTATCTGGAAGCCAGCCCAATCACGAGCAGGGGAATGGCCATCCAGGAGCGAGAAGAGGCCACTGGCGGTAGTGAGGAATATATACCCTAGGAAGTGGAAGATGCGGTATTTGCCAGTCATGGCGATGATAACTCCCGTGATGATGCCAAAAGGCGCAATTGCGGCAGTGATAGGAAGCACGTATAGCCCGGATTCCGTGGCAGTCGAGCCACGCATAGCCTGGAAGTAGACTGGCAGGAAATATCCGACCCAATATAGCAGGACAGACTGAATGAAAGCAATCCACAGTGCGCATGTCCCGGTTCCACTTGAGAACAGCCGGAGGGGAATCGAGGGCTCGGCACATAATCGTGACACCTGATGACCGTAGAAGAGAAACAGCCCCCCGATCCCTAGGATAAGAGGTAAGAGAACTCGCCACGAAGACCAGGCATACGTTGTTCCAGCCCAAGTCAAGGCGAGCAAAATTGAGATAATGGCAGTTGTAAGGATGGAATTACCAACGAGGTCCACACGCTTGAGCTGGTGCCACACGGTGCTATTGGTACGCGGGTGTGTGACTCGAAGGAACAGCACTAGCAGTAGAAGTGACACGGCACAAAGCGGTAGGTTGATGTAGAAGACCCAACGCCACGAGACATACTGGGCGAACGCGCCGCCTAAAACGGGGCCGATCACCGTTCCAACTGCCCACACGGCTGCCATGAGCGCGACATATTTACCTCGCTGGCGGAGGGGAACTAGGTCACAAATGACGATGTCCACGAGTGTGTTGATACCACCGCCACCAATGCCTTGGATTGTTCGTCCTGCAATAAGAAGTCCAGTGTTATTCGCACCACCGGCCATACCACTCCCCAAGGCAAATATGACAACCGAGATGATCAACATCCATCTCCGACCGAAGATGTTTGCGGTCTGACCAAACAGCGGCAGGACAACCGTCGATGATAGAATGTATGAATTTGTAATCCACATGTATAGCTCGCCGGCATTAACATCGAGGGCGATTGTGGGAAGGGCGGTTGAGAGAATGGATGTATCGAGGGCCGAAAGGAAAGTCGTCATGCATAGTGCTGGGAACACAGCCCAAAAGCGCCATGTCTTCTTTGGGATGAGACGATCACTATTAGATTGCGTTGGTGCTTCTCCGTGCTCTTGATGTTGTTCTTCTGCTGGTGCGCGAAGAGGCTGTTGCACATCAGGTTCGGTAGCCAGCGATGGCTTTTCCATGGCTTTTCCCTTGATGGTAAATCTACATCTGCCATGATATTAATATGTTGTGAAAACACAATGACATCAGGGCGTGATAAGATATTAGTATGGAGCTAGCACTTGAATTCCGAAACCCGCTCCCCAAACCCGATCCACGGGAGATTGCCGTTAATCTTTTTTCCAAAACAAGTTAGACGCACGTGGCATTCGGGCCCAGGGGCGATCTGCCAACGCTATTCTGCCTGACAGAATGACTAGCGGCACTAGGTCACCAATGATACCCCAGGACTAGCAGTCAGTATGGGTCTCAACAAGATGGCATCAGCGAGAGTACGAAAGTAGTGCAGGTACGGATTACGGAGATTTTGCTAATATTTGCTCGAAAGACTACGGCAGATTAACCCGAGATGTTGCCAATGCCCCCCTATCACATCAAAATTTGGCTGAACTTGTTAAAATCGCCTTCCTATTGTAATCTGCTTATCTATTTCCTAATGCATAGCACCTACGGAACTTCTTATGATAGATGACTAGTTACCGCCTCTGCTCTGATAGTTGACACGGATTTGAGGAGTATATCTGATTGGTGTTGGAGAGCTCTGTGTTTTTGGCCCATCTACATGTAGTATAAAATGTCCTGAATTGTTTGCTAACAAGTTATATAGAACATAAATCTGCATAGTATAATGTAATTCCAGTGCTTAGGAAAACCCCCGGATAAAAGCCCGATAGTAGCTATGGCCCATGGGATTAACACCGTGCTTATGAACGAAAACTCGGCCCGCAGCCACAAATCTGCAAATTTCAATATTGGTGATACAAGCACAGCTCAGGGATTTGGTCTTGCTAAACCTATCACGGATGCATGGACTACAGTTATCACAGCCGCAGACAGAGTGACATTTGAGACAGACTTTATCCTTAAGGATGGTGTCATCTGTATCTGTATCAGTCATGCGGTCCCAATATGGAGTTGAACGAGGAGTTTGCTCTACAAAGTAGACCTGGGAACAGGGAGAAATGAACCGGATTTCCAAGATTTTAGTAATGTTCAACTAGCACTTGAGACTCCAGGTCTTTTGGATACTGTGTAATTCCGAGAGAAATCAACAAGCGATATAGTACTTCGCGTCGATAACGTTGAGATTTAGCTCCCGAGGTTACTAACATGTATTTTTTTTAATTTTTAATATTAACTACTAATTATACTACTTATTAATAGGAATAAACCCAAAACTATTTAATACTACCCCTCGCTATAAACCAAATAGTTATTATTATAGGGTAGTTCTATATAACTTATATAGGTTACGTCGTTCTATATATTTATACTATTTACAGTCCTATTAGAGTCCTGTCAAAGTCCTATAGGAGCGGACTAGTATATCACTCCTATCTCTTAGCACTCCTATAGGGCTAAATGATAGGAGTTGGCAAGGTCTATAACTACCTAGCTAGATAGATGATTTTAGTGTATTTAATTTAATGGCGTTTTGGTTGAGATATGCGTATTTTAATTAGTAAGTTAGGTGGGTGGCCAGCCCGGTGGTATAGCCAGCTCGGTGGTGAAATACGTTAGTTAACTATTTATAAGTTATTAATAATATAGGGCCGGATGAGGGCGGGCTCTTACCTGTCCTCCGCCCTCTAAATGTTTCACCGTACACACTGCGCCTTAATGGCATTCCTAAAATCAAGAATAAGCACTTGCTTAAACCCTTAGTTACTATCATATTGGAGTATAAACTACCAAAATACCTTTAGGGGCTATAAAGGATAAAGAAGTCCTTTGTACGGGAAACGGGATCCCTCGACTGGCCATGTCGGAGATATTATGTGACCGGGTCGAGCGGGGTTCGGAACCATGGTGCACTATTATCTTATAATATGGAAGCCCCCTGGATCCCCGAGGTTTCTGACAAGAATTAGTCTTGGCACATAGAGACAATACAATCCACTCCTCTCCGCCCCATTGTATCTTACCTGGTTGATAGGCCCTACACCTGCACACTATATGTCTTTACAGAAGCGTAGAAACGTTCTTTAAATTGATATTCTTTTATATATTAATAATGTAGTGTCTAATTGGCCTATTGACTATTTGAGATTAATTGATATACTATATATTGGTGTAGAAATTGGTGGTTGTAGTAAAATGTATGAAAAGTTTTTCATTTGGGTGATCCCTTTCATATAGGTGGTGGACCCTCGCTTGCGAGGGTTAGCAGCAAAGTCAAATAGACACCAAGCAGCGTCAAGCTTTCAAGTGGCTTAACTCCAATCAAAAGCAATGCTTGCCTCCCGTCAATTTCTACCCCCCACCTGTCTGCAATAATGCCCGCATACAATTTTCATCGCCTGCCTCTGCAGCATAATGTAACGGTAGCCACCCTAGCCTGTCCACCGAACTCGGATCCGCATTATACCGAAGCAGCTCCCGCACGATGGCGTGGTGGCCGCGCTGGACGGCTGTATGCAGGACAGTGGAGCCAGCTCCGTCAATGGCGTTAGGATCGGCACCGTGGTCAAGAAGGAGGCGTACCGCCCAGAGATGACCGTGAGTGGCGGAAATATGAAGGGGAGTTGTCCAGATTTTAGACCTCACTCCAGTAGCGCGGGCCGTGTCATGATCTCCGTGTTGGCTTAGCGGCCGTGTGGTCGTGTTCGTGGACGAGATAATTGTTGCTCCCAAGTCCTGTTGTGGCAGGAATTGTGGTTTGGTGTGAGCGTAGCAGTTGGCACATAGGCTTGGGGCGACTATGGTTATGGTGTAGCGTTAGATTGGATATGTAGACAAGAGAGTTGCGGATAGACCACGTACCTTTGATCGAGTTGGTAGAAATTAACGTGTCCATGGTAAAAGGGGAGAGACTTGATTGGAATTGTTCAGGGGTTGTCGGGTCAACGTTGCTGTATTCTGAGGCGTGTGGTGAGAATTGGACGTCGGGAAACAAATTCTCTGCTGACTTGTGGTCCAAACTGTGCTCTAGATCGGACGCAAAAGCAGCTGGGAACGGCAGGTATTCCTGCTCGCTGCTCTTTAAAGAACTGCTACTTCGGTTTGCCGTCTGCCCTGGGTGGCTTCTCTGTTGAGGTGGGGATTTTGAGCTGCTGCATTCGCTATTTTCCAACCATGCCCCTGCTCCCTTCGTACTGATTTTTGTATTTTCACCTATCCCACATTAGCTGGATGGTCTCAGAGACTATAGTGCGTACTGTACGATGCTTCCGCTGCGCAATCCTATTCCTCTCCCTCCGCCGCTCTAGTGCTAATTTCTCTTCCATGAAGAACATACAGTGTATAGAAAGGCAAGAATAATCAAATGTTGGTCAGTCCTGAGTTTTGGCGTTCACGGTTTCGTACATGTAACATGAGGACATCAACCTTAATATATGGTTAGGTTACTTATATACTGTCAGCGTGGCGACTAGTCCCCTGATCTTCCGGGGCGGCAATCAGCTCAGGCGAGCCAAGGATGATGTTTGTTCAAGCTGGCCAATGACTACGAGTGTCATTAATCCCGCTTGACTCACTTTGGAGCATCCATGTCTTTTTGGTTTGTTAAGCACTCAACTATAGATCGCTGAACGCTTGGCAACTGCCAAATCTGCGTTATGCGAATCTAGAAAGCTAACCAAGCCGGACCCGATAATCATGAAGCTAGAAAGTCTAAAATTCTAGCACCTTTCGGTAGTTCAAAGAAGATGCTCCAAATTTCGAACGGCTAACAACGTATAGGGCTTGCTAGCACCATTCTCAGACTCTCCGACTGAAATATTACGGCAGTAACTCTCTGACACAGTTATTAGCAAATTACGTAAACTAAGTAAAGATGTAACCATGTGTCTGCAAGGGAATTCACCTGCATTTCAAATCGCGCTAATACCAAAATTAATGGGCAATAGACTTCTCGGCCTAGCCCACGTTTGCCCCCACCCTGTAATAACCCGACCCGACTCAATACCTAAAATTTCCCCGTAAATTTATCACATCTATTGTTCCTATAGTAATTTCTATACGCAATGCCCTGTGACGGTTGGGCCTAAATGCTGCAAGCGCTTGATGAAGTAGAGAGCCCATGATGGGGCGCCAAAACCCGGGCTGTGATGAGGTCTAGGCCAGCACGCCCCGGCCCGGCCCATAGTTAGCATTTTCAGGCTCGGAAAATTAATTAATAAACTGTGAGAAGGGCCGCGGGAGAATAGTTTGATAGACTAGACCATGTAATATATTGGGTACAGGGAACTGAATCCTGGACCGGCGATTATCCGCCTAGATTAAACGCTACTGACATCACAAACCGAGACTAAGATGTGCTTCATAAAAGCGAATTTTGGCTATGCTGATCCTTATGAAGCGAGGTGACGAAGGTAGAGGGCGAGAAAGTTAAACCACACGCCTAAGCATTCTGTAGATCCAAACTTTAATATAAAACATTGGATCCTCCGAAGAACCCCCGATGCTCGCTTAATTGGCCAAGAAAAGCCTCGGAAGGGCATAAGAAGCCCTGCAATAGTCAAATATAGCTGGGCCACTCACAGCCAATCAATCCACATGCAAAAATATGCAAGGTTGGAGACACTAGTCTGTTCTAGTCCCCCTATGGATTCGAGTCGTTGTTGGATCCAGACAGGCAAGAAGTGAAGAAGAGGTGGGGCTGGAAATCAGGATTTCCGTCCAATCCGGCGGGGGAGGCATGACCGACCACATGGCTACACTTGCAGCTGCGGAGAGATTGCGCTCGTTAAAGGATCTCACTGTTCCCTCTCTGTCCCAGATTTCCACTCGTATCCCCTATTCATACACACCCGTCCGACCATCATGCCCACAGATCCCAAATTGACAACCTGCACCATCAACTCTGCGAAGAGGTGCTGAAGGTGCGCTGGAAGGATCCTTGGCAACGAGTATCTAGACCGGGCTATGCACAACGCCAAGTCTTTTCGACAAGGGTTCATTAGCGAGTGGGCCTGGGCCAACATCTGGAGGCGACTCGGTTTCGATCGGAAGCAGGGTAGTATTCCGAGTACATGAAACAATATAGTCCTCGGAACCCTCTTACCAGTTTTAGAATACTGGATAACACTGGTTAACTGGTGATTTGTCGCATGTGGTAGAAGAGGGCATAACATTGGCCAGAAACCGTGGCCGAACTCGGCGATGCATACCCCAGCGCGATCAACAACGGCCTCGTAGAAATCGAGATCAAGGCGGCGGTACCGCAGGCAACTGTTTGGTGCGGTACGCCTCCTCATGTGGACGATAGGCTGGCCATGGAAATTATTACCAATGATATAGCGGAGAAGGGTAAGTACAAGCGAACTAAAGCCGAATCGGATGTCCTACATCGTCTATCTATATCGCGGTTTGGTTGGTATTCTCTCGTTGGTCTTTTGGGGGAGTACATAGGCTAGCAGACACTCTAAATAGTATTGAAATTTTTCTCTTCTGTGCACTCATAGTCAGATCGTCTAGTAAAACGGCTTTGGATACGCTTGAAGTGACAGATGGAGTTGTACTTCAACTTGGCATTTCCCTCCCGTGGACGGGAGTGATCCCGGACCCACCCTGGCCGGTGTGTCCACCGATGGACTGTGGTAGGCGGACTACGGGACCCCTATACCCGCCCACTGGACATCTGAAGGGTGCCTAAACCCGCCAAGCGATGTTGACATCTCTACGATCGATGGTTGTATTGGAGTTTAGGCATGACAACTTCCAGTTCTTCGAGCTAGACCGTGGTTATGACACATAAGTGGGTTTAGTTTCAGTGAGCTCAGCCACCTTCACGGGGCAGGCTGTCAATTAGGAAAAAAGACTTTTCTTACTAATGTGAAAGTAGTTTAAGATCCCCTGCGTGGAGAAGGCCAAGTTCGTCAAGTTGAGCGGATATCCCGGATTCAAGAGCCAAACTCCACAGGCGGGGATCGTTTCCTATATGTTTCTGACGAATGTAATTACCACTTTAAGCTGACAAAAGTACACGAGCAGACTCAAAGCTTCGGGTTCCGCTCCACAGCTGTTTCAGAGCGGTGACGGAAGATCTCAAGTGGGCCCGATGACCCAAAGTTAGGCTGCAGACAGGAATTGTCATCCGGTCAAAGGGGCGACACTGAATGAAGAAATTAGTCGCTTAAATTCAGCTTGTTTGCCTCATAAATATTTTTATATTTTTATGTCAAATAGAGAAGAGTTGCCAAAAAAAGCAGTGAGAAACCACCGTTGTGTATTTTTCCCGTGAATCAGAATCCCCATTGCAACCCGCATCCCAAGTCATATTGTATTCCTTTTGCAACCATGTCCGACAACCCGAAATTTGAGGAGCTGCACAAACAGCTCTTTGACGAAGGAGTCCAAGTGCGGAGAGCAGTCCTTGGAGATGAGTATGTCAATAACGCGCTGCAAAATGCCACATCATTCACGATGCCTGGACAGCAGCTCATCACGGAATGGGCATGGGGTACTGTCTGGAAACGCCCGGGTCTAGATCGAAAGCAGCGCAGCCTTCTAAGTAAGTCAAATTCCAGCATGACCATGAGATATGGAGAGTGAGAGACCGAGGTTGCTAATATCTACTGGGGACATTCTATAGATATTGGAATCATCATTGCCCAGAAAGCATGGCTTGAGCTGGCTTTGCACACCCGGGGTGCTATAAACAACGGCCTGACAGAGATAGAGATTAGAGAGGCTGTTCTGCAGGCAACGGTCTACTGTGGCACACCTGCCGGTGTCGAGGCAATGATGGTGACTGAGAAAACCATCAATGAGATGATAGAGAAAGGCGAATATAAGCGCCCGGAGGTCTAATTTGGTGGAAACCACCTCATCTTATCATTTTAAGATGGAAATGACAAGTAGCTTGGAATCTTCATATCATGTGTGCTTCGTTCTGATTTAATGCTTCCATACGAACAACATACCACCCACTGGAATACGCGACATTCGTACAGATAAAAAAAAAGAAAAGTCCCTTGTTTGGATACTACTCTGCTCTAGCCGCATCGATTGTCAAGAACAACTAAATTTCTGATTCCACATGCATAGTCTCGGCATTTGCGAATATAAACTAGAGTTATGTTGCCATCACTCCGTCATGTCTACTCAAATTACCCTGTCAATTATCACCTCGTAGCTAGAAGCTATGTCTCAAGGGAAGGGAGTTGAGATCGTCGATTCGCAGGCAGCTCGTCATTCGAATTATGAGACTATTCCTAAATAAACTCTGTCCAACAAGTCGTTTCCAAACTCTTGTAGAATATTGAGTTGCGTATGCATTTCGGGCCACCGGAAGGTTTTTGGCGTCTCGTACGGAGTACTTACCTTTGATCTGCACTTCCGATACCCACACTGTCATACTCTGTATGCATGGTCACTGTCTGCATGCAAGGTCATCGTTTGGTAGCTTCATATATCATTATTGTTGCGAGATAGAATCCACCTTTTGCCCTAATGCGAAACAATGCGGGCCCAAAAAACGAGATTCGCCATCTGATTTCGTGGCTCCGTTACCCCAAAGGTAGATTGAAGGAGTGTGGATCCTGATCATTGCCTTGAGATCTTCAGTTCTCCAACCCTCATGGTGTCAATTTGCCCAAAATTGGACGGGATCTCGAGGTGTTTCATCATCAGAGCAGCCTATTTGCTGCTCATGTTGCGGATTATCGGTCTAGAATGCTGCACATGTCACGGAAGGTACCGTCCCTTAGTGTTGTGTCTCAATGGCAAGACCGACGATGCCAGCTCAAGGAAAACCTCAGTTGATGATCTGGTGTACTGAGAGGATATAAAAAGGGCTGTTTATCTCCGCTGCATTATATTCAACAACCTTCCAACGGGCCTTCCTGAAAACAATCGAGTATACGAAGAGATTAAGCACCACGATACCTTAGTTCTGCTGTCTCGCCTTCGAAAGTTCTACATCATATTTATCTCATCTAAAAGAAAATCACAATGCCCTCCGCCGTTCAGCTTACTGAGATGCACACCCATGTTGCCATTGTCGGTGCCGGACCTCGAGGAACTAGCGCTCTGGAGCGTCTTTGTGCCTCAGCACCCGAGTTTCTTGCCCCAGGGGCACGACTGACAGTTCATATTGTTGATCCATCGTCCCCAGGCGCGGGTCGTGTCTGGCGTACAGAGCAGTCGGATCAACTTCTGATGAACACAGTCACCTCCCAGGTGACCTTGTTCACTGATGATAGTATTATCTGCTCAGGCCCAATTCGTCCAGGGCCAAGTCTCTACACCTGGGCCGCCGATAAGATCCCCGGCCTTGGACCTGATGATTATGGAACCCGTGCCCAGTACGGCCAATATCTCGAATGGATCTTCCAAGAGACTGTGCGACAAGCACCACCTCAAGTGCAGATTGAGGTGCATCCTGCTTTTGCTGTCCGCTTGGATGACACGTCCTATGGCCAGCAAACGCTCAAGCTGTCGAATGGCCGAACCCTTTCTGGCCTCGCAGCTGTCATTCTTGCGCAGGGCCATGTCCCGCTGCTACTGGACATTGAACAACGAAAACTCAATGCTTATGCAGAGCTAAATGGGCTTCATCATATTACGCCCTCCAACCCGGCGGATGTTGATCTTTCAGTTATTGCTCCTGGAGAGAACGTTTTCCTGCGTGGTCTTGGTCTCAACTTCTTCGATTACATGGCTTTGTTAACAACTTCCCGGGGTGGTAGCTTCTCGGAAACTCCTAACGGCTTGAAATATCACCCATCGGGCAATGAGCCTCGGATGATTGCCGGATCTCGTCGTGGCATTCCATACCACTCCCGTGGTGACAACGGCAAAGGGGCATACGGCCGCCACATGCCCCTCGTCTTCACCGAAGAAGTCATCAACGCTTTCCGCAAGCATTCTGATGCTGGACAAGCTCCAGACTTCCTCCAGGATATTTGGCCTCTCGTGTCCAAAGAAGTGGAAACTGTTTATTACTTGACTATGTTGAAACACGATGGGTTGGACCATACTGACTTCCAGAAGAGGTTCCTGGAAACTGAGCCAAAGAGTCCGGAGGAAGCGCAAGTTCTTCGTGACTTTGGTATCTCGGAAGAGAAGTGGTGGTCCTGGGAGCGTATCCAGCGCCCACAGGGCGACCGGGTCTTCAATACTACCACTGAGTGGCGTGAGTGGTTGATCGACTACCTTCGCGAAGATGCCAAGGAGGCCGCACTTGGAAATCTGAACGGTCCACTAAAGGCAGCTTTGGATGTTATGCGCGATCTGAGAAACGAACTCCGACTCATCGTGGATCACAATGGATTGACCGGCGCTTCTCATCGGGAGAACCTCGACCGCTGGTACACACCTCTCAATGCCTATTTGTCAATTGGACCTCCTCGTCAACGTATTGAGCAAATGATTGCGCTCATGGAGGCGGGAGTTTTGGAAGTCCTTGGTCCGCGTCCCCAAGCAAAGGCCCAGGATGAGGCTTGGCTGGTCCACTCGCCTGAGGTGCCAGGCGAGCCAATCCGTGTTACCACATTGATCGAAGCCCGCTTGCCAGAGCCAAAACTCCGAAACACGGGAGATGAGCTTCTTTCTCATTTGTTCAAGACTGGTCAATGCCGCGCTCATACAATTGACGGATACGAGACTGGTGGTCTTGATGTGACTCAAAGCCCATACCATCTCATTGACACCCATGGCCGTGTGCACCCAAAGCGATTTGCTGTCGGTGTTCCAACTGAAGGAGTTCACTGGGTGACCGCTGCTGGTGCCAGACCAGGTGTGAACTCAGTCACACTTTGTGACACTGACGCCGTTGCCCGCGCTGCTCTTAGCGCAGCAGCTATCGAGGCCAAGATCACTCAGACCAAGATTGATATGAAGACATTTCCCCATATTGAGGTTGCCAAGCTCCGTGTCCATGCTTGAAGCGAGTATGGTTATCATGTGCGGAGGTAAATAGAGAGGGAAAGTAACGAGAAAAGCGAGCATATCAGGAATATTATGGAATGGAAAGGGAGAATGTAAATCGCCATAAATTTTCGATTTGATATCTCTATTTGTTTGCAGTTCAAATCAATGTTTGATTTCTAAGAGATAGCCTGATCTTATGAATACTATATGCGTTATTTCTTCAAAAACATATATCCGCGTCTCGAATGTTGGATTCCCGTTCATATCATCAACTGAAGCCCTAAATTTGTAGTAATGCACAATAAGTATATAACCGGCCCCTATAATTTATTTATTTTTCAAAAAAATACGGACCCTCGCAAGCGACGGTCCGCCACCCATATAGAACATTTTTTTCTAAATTTTATATTTTCACTTTGATCATCTACCACGCCACCAACAATGCCTAAAACCAATAAAGATATAGAGAGATTGCTTCAGCTGGCAATAGACTCTCTCTAAGCAACCTAAGCCTAATGTTAGGAAGACTACAGGAGAATTCGCTGTTCCCTGTGGCCGCCTTCGTCGGCGCTAGTAAGGTAGAAAATCGTTTTTTCAACGGTACCTAATAACCGGAAGCTTAGTCCTATATATAACGATATAAGGAAAGGAAACTAGATTCTATTAAAGGTTTCCGCCTTAGCGCGGTTTGTATTGTTTGTTTAATTGATTATAATAGGATCATATAAAGGATCCTATCTCAGGGATTCCTTTCTTTCCTTTCCTTTACTCTCTATTCTTAGTATTCTCGTTAGAATACACTCTTTTATTTAAGAACTAGCACGTAACAAACGAAGTCTGATTTTATTAGAAGTCTAGCTATTAGGACTAACTTCGAAGCGTTAATCCTCCGGAAGGCCGTCGAACTATAATTTAATAAAGACTGTACCTTTAAAAATTATATATAGAGGAGGGGCTATCTAAAAGTATTCGTATATTTCACTACTATTACCTATTTATAATTTCTAGATTATAAAACCGGCCTCCGGCTATAATATTCTTTCCTTATAATAACCTTTATAGTTATAGTTAATCCTATTATTAAACCGATCTTATTAAAGTTATAGATATCGTCGGAATCGATTATAAATTAAAATACTATCTTTTAAACTAGATTAAACTACTCCCTGATAATTTTAAGAGTCTTTATATTTCGTACGCTTATAGTTATACCGTTTCGAGTATTAGGAAGAGAGGATAGGATACCGTTTTATAAATTTTATAACCTAGTTTTCGCCGATCGAAAGAACTGGGGTAGTTGTATGCGCCGCTTGGGGTGAAATACTTTAACTATACAACATAACTAGGTCATTCCAAAACCATTAGTAATCACTGATAAGCGAGGTTATTGGTCTGGTGTAGTATATCACGTGATTTAGGTGGATTCCCAGACCGATGAGTTTTTGGCACAGGGCGGTGACCTGTGCTCTCTGACCTTATCATCCCACCTTCTGCCTTAGAGATCAGGCACCAATAACATCATCCCCCACCTTGGTCCCTCATTTTGGGCCAATAAACAAAAATAGGACGCTTCTTCTAAGAACCCCCGAGAACGTGTAGGAACAGGAATACTAAATCCGAAGCAACACGTATCTTAATAACCGATAACCTACAATTATCCGGGCTGACTCATCCTCTGATCCGATTCGCCTGAATAATACAAATCAGATAACGCCCAGTCTCGCTCAGTCTCGGCCGTCTTTTCTTGATAATCCATGTGGTTCGGTATCTTTCTTCTTCGGATCACCTCACTTTCTGGTAAATCCAGGGCCAAGTCCCCACTTCGTCATAAATCCCGATGGGCCGATATGTGTAAGCGGTACTGTTAAATACCTACTACTCCAGCCCTTCTTCCCTTCCCCTCTTCTTCTCGTATCCACAATCTTAACTTCAATCTC